AACACAGAAATATCCAAATTCAAATAAGCTATCCTTTTCGAATGAATGAAAATGTTCGTGATCCAGTTATTTACACGGACCAGATCTGCTACTGGTCACGCCTTCTTCCTCGTCCAAGCTATCCTTGGTTTAAGAGAACTATCTCAAGTTTCTACATGCATGCAGGACATGTTTCATTGTTTTGGGGTGCTGGCTCGGTGGAATCTCCCTTCCGTTTTGATGGCATTCGCGGATTCTGAACCTTGTCCCAGGCTTCATTCTAAAGGCAATGCTTAAATATTGCTGCTCATTCCTTGGTTTTATGAAGGACTTTGAACGTTGTGAAACTGATATTGTCCAAGGAGACTTTATTAGAAAACGCTTACATCCGACATTTTCGAATACTTCCTAATCAAATACATGCCAGCTAAGTAACCCATAATTTCTTTCGGTTCGGAGACCGGAAGATGGCTTCTGTCTCAACCTCTGCCTTAATTATAGTTCAAATCTTCCGCGGATTTTAACTGTATATACCACAAACGTAAATCTTCACAGGTTATACCTCATTCCACACCCTTCACCTTTAAGCGCTCTCTTTTCCTTGCGTCCAGGTATATATCTCCTTAGAATAACCTTTCAATTGATATTGCGTTTTCAGGTAGTCTTTCTACTTTCAGATGAAAACAGCACATTTTCCTTAACGTTGGCTCGAATAACTATTAATTTTCCTCATCTCTCTCCACGGCTCCGAATAAATACCATCAGGAATTTAGGAGCCCATCACCAAATTTATTTCCCATGCTTCTGGTTCTCCACGAACCACTATATTCCCATAACCCACACCACGCCCATCTTATTTGAGTAGTGTTGACGCGGACGGTTTACGCTAACTCAACTACTGTTGCTGATAATCGTAATCAGATTTCCGCGCTGGCTACGGCTATTTCAAGACTTCACGTCTATTATCAGTTTTCCCCCAGTTCTCATGCGAAATGACGTCCCCTGGGTGCACTATATTGCCTGACTAGTACTCAGTTGCTGGATTGCCTTTATGGTTTCGTCCTACACTCAGAAGAAATCTACTCTGTTTCTTCATATCTCTCTGCGAGAAAAGTTTTTTATCCTGTAGCTTTTATGAAAGTGAGGGCGCGCATAGCTATTCCCCCACTTTTATTGCAGGAGTATTTTTACTGGTTCGTTCCTGGCTCACGGGTTTTTCTAAAATTATTAAATATTGGTGGATCGGCACTCACCGGTCGGTTACGGGAATAGCTATTCTGCCTTGAGGGTCATTTCCGCGTCACGCCAACAGCCGCACATATGCTGGTGGTATAGCAAAAGCAACATTACAGGCAAGGATAAGGGGGACCGTAATGATCGCTTTAGGCTTATTAGCCGATATCAGTCAGCCATACTCGGCTCCAGGTCTTTTTGTGGATAACGACTTTCTGCTTATGCAGCTAGTCGCTGCTGGAGGGGCTCGAGAACACGGCTCAAAGTACAGCGGAGGAATTTAGTTCGTTAACTGATCGGTCAGCGCCAATCTAACAATTGTAATATTCTCGATGGAAACTACTGAGACAACGAGCCCGTAACTGAATGCTTTAGAGCGTTGAACTTCTAACCAAGAGTTCGTGGGTTCAAACCTCGGGCGGTGGACCATTTGGGGATGAGTATTACTGGCTAATGACGGCTGATAAGTCAGAAACTGTCATTCTAGTTCCCCTTGTCTTTGTCGGTAATGGTAATTCACTCTTAACTATTACTTTAAGAAAACATCTTACACAAAAGGTAAATTCGCCAGCGGATGTTAAACACACTGCTGTCTATCCAGAATGCATCTCTCATTTCTGCCGCATATCTGGCCGCCCACTCAGAACACCAATGCCTGCCTTGTCATTCTCTTACCTCAGAACAGACTTTGTTTTGATAGTGCGCTCTGAAGTGCACTTAGGAGTTCGGCGCATCACCACCTTTGCTTTAAGATAGACGGACAGAGTATATTTTTTAATTTCTCCTGGGATAAGATTTAAAATCAAGCCGAGACGCTTGGCTACCTAGTTACAGCTTATTTCAACAGTCTTCATGTTGCGGAATACTAGGAATAGCATGCCAAGAATACCTGGCCGATGATACGTGTAAGAAATTTGGCAGAACGTTTGGTGCATGTTGGTCGGACTTTAGTTTGGTGAATTTGAGATAAAAACCGGTAGGGGATAACTGAACACAGAACCCAATGAACTTAGGTTTCCGGTGCGAAATGCATTCGGAGGGCACGCGGATAAACAGCTCAGAAGCAAATTTATGTTTTTTACTCGGTTACCTTGGTGATACGTGTGATTATTTTTTAACACGGGACTGAATGCCTTCATGAAGAAATCTGTTCATGTTTACGACAGAAGAGCAGATTATTTGCTTAAGTCTGTCCGTTGATCAAATCGATGAGGAAGTACCGAGTAACTTGTTATGGCGTTGCATGTGGTGCAAGGGCGAATTCAAAAATTCTATTTCGCTTGCCTGTGTAAGATAAGCACAAGATAATTAGCACATGGGATATATAGTAAGATCAGTATAATATATCAATAGCAATAATCGGACGGTTGCGCGTAGTCTATAAATACCAAAACCTCCTCTTAAAAGCAAATAAAGATCGAAATCCCCGTAGTCAAACAGAACCCACTGATATATAATCATACCAACCTCCTTTTTTTACGAAAAAGTTAAAGTACTCATCGAATACGATTTCAGTAACAATGCACTAAACTAACGACAGAGCAGAGAAGAATTTCTGGAAGCGATGTCTCTTGCCTACTGAAATTAGCTAAGTAGCTTCGGTTGAGAAGAAGCTTTATCGAACACCGGAATCATGATTTCATTGGTCTGAGCTTTCGGGCTCCTGCAGGAGTCCACCGTCAGAGATGGGAAAACAGCAACAAATGGGATGGCTAGTTGTGGCGTGTGTACAGAAAGCTCAGACCAATAAAATCATGATTCCGGTGTTCGTAAGTAGCTTCTGCCTGTTGCCTGGTTATTGGTTAGGTGATTACCGGTTTAGGTTTGGAACTAGAATAGCAGTTGGTTATAGGATTGTTTTTGGAGTTGTCTTGAACGCCTGCCCGAATTCTATAACTCTTAAGCTGGCAGTGGCTGTGCAGCTAACCACAAAATTATCCCCACGGGGTTCTGGGAGATGGCTACTGTCACCTCTGGGGTCACTCGTCTTCTTTCTAATATCGGTGGTTTCTAGTAGGTCCCAGGTAAACATCTTAAAAGCTGTCAAAAGGAGTACTGCGATCTGCTTCACGATCTTTTTATCGGGCTTAATACGAGAGCCTGAAAACACTTTTTTCGCATTAACAGCCCGGAATCTATCATCAAAAACAACAGCAGTTGCGTTTGCGAGGCCCCCTAACGCGCCAGACAAACTTCTTCCAATCAGTTGGTACTGTAATTTAGTTTGTTGATCTGCAGGTGTTATGACATGGAATCTTGTCCATATTCTGACACCGTAACGTTAGCACATGGCGGCCGGTGCCACACGGCTGAGGGATCAAATCAGCTGCGAAAGTATTCGAAGAAGTTTGAGGGTTAAAACGGCAAACAAAACCTTTAGTTAACATCGTAAATTTACATTTATATACATGCATAGATACAAATATGTATACTAAATACTAAGGCAAGAATCAGGGAAAGTTATTGGATTACTAATTACTAACAACAGCAAAGAAACCTTCCAAAAAAACGAAGAATCCTCCTTCGATGCTTTCGGGACCGTCCTATAGGAGAAAAAGAAAATATTTAAAGCGCAATTGTTAGAAAATGCAATGCATTTGGTATTTGGATGTCAGATGAATTATTCACGAACTTTTTGACTGACTTGCTGGCTTCGTGTTCTGCAGTTCATAATCTAGAGGAGTGGGAGTAGAAGGCGTTCCGGACGCCGAGCGCCCGAGTATATGTGTTGTGTTAAGCTGTTTCTTAGCAAACGGATCTGCAAAACAGAGTAAGCTGATCAGTTTTTTTATCGCCTACTGCCTGCGCCACAAGAGCAATCAAATAGATTTACTGGACGCGCACGGAGCATCTTGCGGTCTAGTCCTACATGTCCAGAGAAGGTTTAATCTTCTCCCGTTTGCTGTCCATAGAAAATATGTGGGTGTGTAGGCCTCAATCCAAAACAGATACCTCCTGGTTGTA